TGTGAGTGCGTTGGTCCCGTGGGCGGATAAACTAGCACGTCAGCAGGCGGAGGGGAAGTACGCTGGGAGGTATGTGCTTGAGACGGCGTCTTCGAACGACACGCTCGTTTTGTCTTCGACGGCGGGTCCGGGTTTGGCTATCGAGGCGCTGAGCCTCAATGGCGTTGATATCGTTGCTGCTTTGGCTATGAAGCAACAAGTCCCACTGGACAACTTTAGCGCGAGGCTGTACCCAACTGATCCAGATTCTCTGGGTACGCAGAGCGAGAACTGGAGGATGCTGCCTGATCAAATCAGCCCGGCGAAGAAGCTGTGGGCGGAGCTGGAGTGTATGAGTTGGAATAATGGGGATTGGGCGAGGTATGTGGGGGAGCCGCTTGATACGATTGTGTTTCATGTGGATGCCGAGAGTGGGAAGGTTGGGAGTGTGGAGTTGCTTGGTTGGAGGGTGAATTTGGTGAAGGTGGATTGAGGCGCTTGGCTATAGAGTTTTGGATTATAGCCCATGAACTGGGGGTTCGATATGATTCGAGATGTCTGTACACATTCATGTTCATCCGAAATGAATTGAAATGTGTTTCTTCGATACCTAATATATGCAACTGTAGAAACACCAGCTACCAACCTTGTCCCGCGTCCCGACCACGACTAAACACCAACAACGAAAGTACTACCGCAAGATGCTAGTAGCAAAGGGGGTATCGAATATACAAAGCACGAACGAAAAGCCCTGCCACCTCCACTCGCTCAACATGACCAGTTCCATCCTCCTCTAACAACACCCAGGTACTTCAGACAACAGTAAAAGTCCTCTGCGGATAATTATCCAACTGTGTCATATCCTGAATCTCAGGGAACCAGTGTTCAAACAGCGCCTCCGCATCCTCACTCATCTCCTGTTCCGTCCCCTCAGGCGTACACTCATAGCATTCCAGTCTGCCGACACGACGATACGTGTTATTCCCCGCTGAAGACGAAGACTTGAGCACAATACCTACTATGGAAGAACGGAATGTCATGCTGACGAGGACGCAAACGAGGGTTTCGCCGTCTTGCAGCGCGTCTTCGCCGCGGGGAGGGACGACGTCGGGGGTAAAGTCAACGGTCATGCCGTTTTTAGCCAAGGTATACGAGGGTGGTGCGTCTGGCGATGCAGATGAAGAAGGCGGAGACGAATGAAACACGACTTCTGCGGCCATGGCACCTGAGAGTTCGAGGGGCTCGCCCATGATGGGTGACCAGGCACTCGCACGCTTGCCTTTTGGACCGAAGGAAGCGCGGCAAGCGAGGTCCATGGCGCTTGTGTTGTCGAAGAAGATGGGAGAGCCTTCGACGGAGGCCCACGACCAACTCGGCACGTTTTGTCCTTGGGCTAGTTTCGGGCGCCGGCAGCGTGAGCTGTCGTTGGGATACCAGAGGAGGCCGAGGGTGCTGAAGGTCCATTGGCCGGCTATGTAGCCTGATTGGAGGGTTGGAGAGAGGGCTTTGGCGATGCTTGCTATTGCTATTAGGCGGTCGCTGTCGTAGGTGAGGTGGCGTGCGGTGTATTCGGTTATGATATAGGACCATAGTTGGAGTGTCTCTTCGCGTCTGCGTAACAGCTCTTGTTGGGCGCCATTCGTGAGGTTCGTAGAGGCCAGTTGGTTTGTCATGCTGTCCATACGGGTGTGGCCCATGTTTCCGTTGGTGTTGGCTTGTTGTGGCCTGTTTGCTGTTTCGTAGAGGACTCTGCCAAACTCTTGCTTGACCTGGTCGCATGGCCGCGTATCATATGTATTGTCGTCAATACGCCCGCATTCGCATTGGTAGCCTTCTCGGCATTCTAGAATCATCTCGCTCTTGGTGAAGTGCAGCACTCTCGGCGAAAGTAGGCGTTCGGCGTACGGCCATGCGCGAATCAAGAGGGGCGTGTGTAGATTTGCTTCTTCGGTCATGTTGAAGGGTAGCTCCCACTCGTTCATGTGAGCATTTCCGTCAAAAGGCGCCTTGAAACTGTAATGAGTCGGCTGCTCCCGCACGTTGATCTTATGTAGCGAGCCTTTGTTGTCCGTTGCTTGGATCTTGAATGGCTGTGTTTTGGGGGGAAAGAGGGGTTGGGTACTGCTGTCGGATGCGGAGGTCGCCGCAATCGTCAGGAAGGCGTTGCCGAAGATCTCATCCATCTTGAGCGAGTCTTCAAGCTTCTCCTGGACGTCATCTTGTATCAGGCACAAACTATCGATGAACAGCCACCGGAAACCAAGCGCTCGAGTGAGGAAGACGGCCTCTTGGTATGCTCTTGGCAGTGTTGACCATGGGATGCTCTTCTTGTGTGATTGCAGGTTTGCCAAAGTCGTTTTCGGGATACCTTTGGCCAGTCCCCAGACATGGCTCAAGGCAATGTACTCGCCGTGTTCGTATCGCCTCTCGTCTTGGATGTATTCACTTTCGTGGAGGCGCATGCTCTTGGAGTCGTCGCGCGACAGCAGATCTAGAACGCGCTTCGGTAGTGTAGTCGGTTTACCTCGGCGACTGCATGTAACATGGTTCTCTAGGCAAGTCTTTATCAAGCCTCGCGCTGTTGCTAGACCAGTACTTTGTAGTGGATTATCTGTCACATGTTTTCCGCGCCCAATGGCGGAGAAAGGAGACTGGCCGTCTGCGGTGTTGTCAGTCCACGCGTTCCTGCAGAGCGAATGAGCTAGCAGTAGCCCTGGAGGTGACCGTTCCACGACCGCGACCATCATTACATCAACTGAAGCACGTCGGAAGAAAAATTGGCATACCTCCATCGGTGAAGAACTCGAGTTTCAGATCTGCATGGCCTGCCGCATGTTCATGTTCGTCCTCGTGGCAATCGTCATGGTCGTCGTTGTCTTTCCATCGGAGCTCGACGGAAAGATGTTCTTGGGGAACTTTTCCATTCTTTGGCCTGAATGTTTCTGCCTTCACTCTAACATTATCTTCGTTGATGTTTGGGAACCGGTCGTGGTGTAGGAGGACGCCATTGAGGAGGAGCGCGCACGCGCGGCAGGAACTTGATCTCGACCTCAGATTTGGCAGCGTCGTGTCGACCCAAACGAGCGAATCTGGCCCGTTCTCTTGTACGCTGTCCGATCCATGGAGGTGCTTCTGGAGACCTTTACATGTCGCGCAAACAGATACCATGGCGTCGTGGAGTGGTTGAAAATGCGTGATGGATATGACGACGGTGCGGGGTGCTGAGGTTCGTCCCCGTTGTTCCGCGGGGCGGCAGGACAGTGTTAGGGAGATGGCACACTGACCAGGTATACGTCAATTGAAACCCCTTAAGCAGTCGCTACTAGTGAAAATGCTGGCCCACGAAGCCAGTCGCAGCAGCTGACATTTGCATGCGGCTTCCAGACCATTCGACGGCCTAAGGTGGAAGGTCAGCTCTGAACCAAACCAAAAAGTGGAGGCGCCACTACTAATCCTACGGGCAGTGAACCTCTCCCGCTCTTGTGGGGACGCCCAGCTTCTAAAGCACAAGGATCTCTCGTCGCACTACGATTATCATTTGCAGAAAGATAAGTATTCGGCGACCTATCGCCGCCTTGTCTCGCCCCTCGCTCGAAGACCTGCAGCACAGATCATCGGGCACTGCGCATGGCGATATCATCCAAGCTGGTGCATGCTGACATCTATCCTGCGCCCGCCGAACCTTGGTAACGAATGGATCGCGACGAATGCCTAGGTGCCGCTCGTTCGGTGCTTCTCCCGTGAACACGACCCTCGCGCCCGCAGATCTGGGTCAACGTGCTTCAGCCCGTTTGTTCAATCATTCGTCAACGCAATGCTTTTTTCGAGCTGCTAGCCTACCAGCAGAATTCATGATGAAACACGAGCTGAGCCATTGTTCGGCCAAGTGCTGCATTTAGCAGAAGTGACATCTAGATCCTCACCTGACAGCAGCCATGAGCATGTCTTCACATCCAAGCCATCCGGCATCAGCAGAGCCGTATTGCCACACCGACGTTGTTCAGCCTGCTTTCAGACACCAGCGCAGGGTAATGGCAGCCATGGAAAACGCCCTGCTTTCCGCCTCGAAAGCCGTCTCATACAACCAATCGTTCCTACGGAACTTTTCTGACTTGCATCCTACTTCCAAATCCGGCGCGTCATTCTTCCATGTACAATCTATCCACTGGTCGACCATCAGCATGTCAGATTCGTCAATCGCCTTTCGGCTGCGTCGACCACCGATCGGTCACGAAAGGACGGCGACCTTGCAGCTGCTCAAAAGACTGGAAGCAGAATCGCATTCGCGCAAGGCTTTATGCATCAACGATATAAAGCCCAATGAAAAGGTCAACCTGCAATCTTCCGCTGCGTGTCATCACTTGAGCTTCGAAAGGGTGGTCAGGCTAGGGCCCGCAAAATCGAGTCCATCTACATCCATGAGCCACTTCAACCGCCTTGTATGCAAGCCTTCACGACTCTGCTTCGCCATTCGGTCTGCGGTCTGATAGCCCGGGCCAACGATATGAAATGGGCGTCAGCCGCTGCCTTAAGAGCTCCCTGTGTTCAAATGGTCGCTAGAGGCTGTACGTCCAAGCATGCTAAAGGCGAAGTCAACATCACGAGAAGATGCTGCCTAAAGTCGTGGAGGCTTGAGTGGTGAAGTTGCGCATCGTTCGCGAAGTGCGATCTCGTACTGACCTATAGCGTGCCGACTACATATTCCGTTACGCGTATCATCGTCACGTAGGCTCTTAAAGTTTTGTTCCAGGACATACGGCGCTCATCGATCGGTGGAACTCGATATTTATAATCTTGTTCACTAAACGTGACTTTCGCAAGTCGCGTCTTACTCACTATTACCACGAGACTGCGCGTCGTGTCTGCGTGAAGGGCACAGCGCACGTGCCCTTACCATCAGAATCGAGACTAGCGTTGCGGGACTGAATGTGGTAGCGACGACCCGGCCCCACATCGGGCTGCCACAAGCATCCCAGACGTGCCAGAGTCACGATGTAGGCAATTCGCCTGGCAACACCAACATGACTTCGGTTATTAGCGCATTGCGCAAGCAAATTGCAACATGCGAAGCCACACTCAAAGATCTGCGCCAACAGCTGGCGGAAGCGGAGCACAATCAACGCGAGCAGGGCAAGATTGTGCCGCAAAAAAGGCGACTGGCAACTGATCCTGTAAACCCCATGGATCATGACATGAATTTTGGAGTCCCGGATCAGTTTCGCGACGAGATCTTTTCTATCCTTCAGCAAGAGCAAACGGCGCCGGATGCCGCAAGCACTGTAGCTGAGGATGCGCCAAAATGGCCATTGGAGAAGAACGAGTACAAGAGATATGGAAGGCAGCTGATTATGCCTGAGATTGGTCTGAAAGGTGAGTTCGGTCTTGAATAAGAGCATTTGGAATAGTGCTGAGCCCGGGTTACTTAGGTCAGCTCCGCTTGAAAGATGCCCGTGTACTCATCGTAGGTGTGGGTGGTCTTGGTTGTCCAGCTGCTGCATACCTGGTCGGAGCAGGAGTTGGTACCGTTGGACTAGTGGATGGCGACGTGGTAGAAGAATCGAATTTACACCGACAAATCTTACATTCTACAGCCAGAGTTGGAATGACCAAAGTCGAGAGCGCGATGGTGTCTTTGAAGTCGTGCGTCTACCCATCAAGTTGTACCACGGGAAACCCAGCTAACCTACTAGACTAGGCTCAACCCTAATGTTACACTTGTCCCTCACACATCCCGACTCAGCCCAGAGACTGCGGTTTCGACATTCAAACAGTACGACTTGGTTCTAGACTGCACAGACACTCCCGCGTCGCGCTACCTAATATCCGATACATGTGTCCTCCTAGGCAAGACGCTCGTCTCTGCATCAGCCCTCCGTATAGACGGCCAAATGATGGTTCTGAACAACCCACCCTTACCAGCCGGCGATCCCAACGGAGGCCCCTGTTACCGCTGCGTCTTCCCCAAACCACCACCCCCCGAATCCGTCGTCTCATGTGGCGACGGCGGCATCCTAGGACCGGTCGTCGGCGTAATGGGCGTCTTGCAAGCACTCGAAGCGATCAAAGTCCTCACCCACAAACCCACCACCACACCCGCAGATCCCCCGAGTCTTCTTCTCTTCTCGGCTTACTCGAATCCCATGTTCCGATCTATACGGCTCAGGAGTCGGAAAGCGAAGTGCGCTGCTTGTTCGACGCACGCAACGATTAGTGCAGAAGCGCTGGAGTCGGGGAGTCTGGATTATGTCCAGTTCTGCGGCAGTTTACTTCCAGATAACAATCCACTGGCCCCTGAAGAACGGATTTCAGCGAAGAACTACGCACAATTACGATCCGGTGTCAATCCTTTCACGGGCACAGTATCGAAGAAAGAAAGCCACTTGCTAGTTGACGTCCGTGAGAAGGTACAGTTTGAGTTGTGTAACATCGACGGTAGCATCAACGTGCCTTTCTCTACGGTCTCAGCCACCCGGGGACCTACCTCTGCCGTCGAAGAAAAGGACTGGACTAAGATGCTACGGCAATCCGAGAAGCCCATCTTTGTTGTGTGTAGATTGGGTAATGACTCGCAGGTTACGGTCAAGAAGATGAAAGAGCTTGGACTCGATGCGGGCGGGAAGAGGTATATTGGTGATATCAAAGGGGGTCTGCAGGCGTGGAGAAGTACGGTCGATACTGAGTTTCCGGATTACTGAGTTTGTAGTTCTAAATCCTCCATGTAGATAAGAGCACTGAGTCGGAATCAGCACTCCTAGTCAAACATCTTACCTACCAAGCTCAACAACAAACCTTTTACCACCCCCATATCCCCTCACCATCCTCCCCAAAACCCCATCAACGCTCTTTAAGCCCTTCACCATCTCAACCTCCTGCGCACTCATCCACCCCTTCTCCATGCCAAACGGTAAATACGTCCCCACAACCCACTCCATCAGTCCTTCATTCCCCTCCTCGTACAACGAGTCTGACCACGGTTCAAACACCCTCTCTACACCCTCTGGTAAGTTCTCAAGACTGAACGCAGGTTGTGTGGCGAAGAGCTTTCCGCCACCTTGCGCCTCCAGAACGCGGCTTGTTATAGGGATAGTTGAGAGAGTGGATACCATGTCCACGACGACATCGTATGGTCCACGCGCTCTGATATCTGCGATGATTTGGTCGGGTGGAAGTGTGTGGTCGATGACGTTACCCTCACTTCCACTGAGCTCACATACAGTACCCATGTGCTGTGGTGAAGACGTGGTGACAACATCGTACCCTGCGCATCTGAGGTACTGCACTGCTAAACGGCCGAAACTGGAACTTCCGCCGTATATCAATATCTTTTCTCTTTCTTCGCCTTCTTGGACCTCATCACCTGGCTTGCGCAATCCCAGCCGCCCGGAGAAGAGACCGGGGACACAACTCGCGTTCATTATCAACGCTACTAACGCTGCTTGTTCATCATTGTTCATGCCTTCCGGTAGCCTAACCACCATCTTCTCCTCCGCAGTAACGAGGACGTAGCGTTGATACGCGCCATATGCGTTTCCCTGTGTACTGAATCTCTTGCTAATGAGAACGCGGTCGCCAATTTGATACTTCGTGACTTGGGAACCGACAGCCGAGATTGTGCCCGTGTAGGAAGAGCCTGGGATGAAAGGGTAGGAAGGCGGTGGTGGGGTGCTACGTTTGGCTATCTTAGCTTCAATAGCATTGATGCCGACAAGCGAGACTTTGATTAGGAGTTCATAGGCGGAAGGTCTGGGGATGGGGAGGATTCTTAATGTGAGAGGGGAGTTTGGGGATGTGAGGATCGCGACTTCGTTCATAGTGGATGACTGTAAGAAGTTAAAGTATGAGGTATGCCAGGTGATGCTCTTGATTGTTTATACTACATTTGCACGGCTTTTTACTACTACATGTTGTGTAGAGCTCGAGGGAGGTGGCTGCTGTGCAGAGGAGTCGATGATTAATCGATCATGATGCTACGGAAAATTTCCGCTACGCATTACACAGCGCGATGCTGGGTGCCGTGTTTTTCGCCACAATATTGCCCATGTTGCATCGATTGACAGGGTTAATTATTATCATGCTGACATCGGCTCGCACCGTCGGTGCTATTAGGCTTTGAAATGCGGGACAGTAGGGCGCCTAATCTGGACGATGCAGACACGGATGGGAATTTCGTGCCTGGTCAGAATGCCTGGCCTACTTCCTGCCAATGCGTCCATGGTTCCGCGGGTATCTCTTCAGTGTTCCTCGCCTGCCAATCCGCTCCACTGAGCCATTGGTGAGGTATCTATTCTCGTGTCTCAAACGCCTCGCCTTCACTGCTGTGCAAACTCAGGCTTCGTCTGCATATTACTCTGCACATGGCTCTTGAGCGCCGCCCAGCGATCTTGTACTGCATCAGCGCCCTGAGCCCCTTTCCCACTCCCGCCCACAAGCTGCGCCAGATTCGCATTAAACCTCTCCTTCTCCAACTTCTCCAGCTTCTCCTTCCGCTTCTTCGCACCCTTTGTTTTCTTCATGCTGTCCGGCATCTTCTGAGGTTGCACTATCCGCGCTTGACTTGTTTCGAGCCCATCTTCTCCAGACTCTGGCAGTGCGTCGGCGAGCGACTCGAGGTTTGCGATGAGCTTGTTGTTGGGGCGTCGCCGTTTTTGCGTCTTGGCAGAGGACTTTTCGATTTTGGATACAAACGAGGAGTGTTTGATCTTTAGCTTGTCGCGCTTGGAGGATGGGGACGAGGGGATGCCGTCGGGCTTTGGGAGAGTTGCAGTGGTAGTCGTGGGACGGGCGGCGCGAGCGGACTTTGCGCGCGCTGTTGTGCGCTTCTTTATGGGTGCCTATTCGTTTACGTAAGTACGTACTGTATTGTACAGGAATTCCTAGAGGAACATACCATGGCTGTCTTGTGTGTAGAGAAGGTTGAATAGTTCCTGTCGCATAGAGCTGGTGGAACGCTCCTGCGCAAAAGTTCTTATCGATAACGACAAGTGCCGACGTCAACCACCCGGTCCGTGCGACCTTCATAGACACTGGACGTACAACTCGGCTTCCGTCTCACGACCCTCCATCCGGATGTAACTTCGCGGCTACACGAGATTCACGATTTCATACGCAGCTGCAACTGTATGACCTTCTCCGACGTGGTTCAACGGGCACATCGCCTCAGTGAGCTACCACGCCTCCTCATCGTGCCCCTTTGCTCATCCTTGTCGCATCTACCGGGCGAAGTCATGTGTTTCACTCTTCACAGACTTCCTGTCACCATGTACACGCTCGTGGTGCTTGAGGCAACGCGTTCAACTCCGCCAGGATGAAGTCCGAAGAGCTGCCTCACTCGACGCCACCAACGGCGAGTCGGACTCCGCACCAAACAGCAAACAGCAGCTCTTCTCGCAGCCGAGTCATCTAGTCATGCTTCGACCTGGGGCAGGACTGCTTTATGGAACACTCCGATAAGACTGCAGCATATCGGACTTGGCTAGGTGCGGCCCGTTCCCGACCACCAACTATTGGCTGTCTGTCGCATAACGATCCTCGTTGTGATCACCTATGATGCACTACGATGGCATGATTTTCCCTCGTTTTGTTTCTTGCAGGGTTCACTCCAGTAGAACATGTCATAGAAGCGATTGCCACAGGCAAGTCAAGGTATACGAGAGAGTATTGCTTTTTTACAACCCCAAACCTGTCCTGAAACGCTATCATTTAACCTCAGCTGCCACCATCTGCGGGTTGGCAGCGCTCCGGCATGTACAACATCCCCGTATCACTGTGGCGCCATCCTTCACCCCAACACTACGGACCTGGGCTCAGCTCCACGACGGCCGTCTAGCCTAGATGCAGGCACGCGTGCGACCGATCAGCATCGAATCCCGCCCACTGCCGTCATGTTGTTCTACGATTCGCTGCGGATCGCGACTCATATCCCTTCCGCTTCTATTTGTGGTTCTCTAGACGAAACTATACGAACCCCTCGTCGTCTCTGCCGCGACAAAAGGCAATCATTCGCATGAAATGCAAGACGCGTAGTCCTGGTGACTCGGACTTTAAGGGAGCATTACGAACAGCGTATGCAGCTTGTCCGAAGTTCGAGAACATCTGGCCCTATTCATCTCCTTGTAGCCGCCAACATGCTATTTCGATAAAGATTCATCAAGGCTCATTTCAATGCAATCTCCGAACCGCGCAAGACACGATGTGCGAACAAGCCCAGCATGAGAATGCGCTCATTTCAGCTCAGAATCATGGTACTATTCTGGTAATGGTAGCTTGGTTTCTTGCTTGCCTATTGGTACGAGTTCCCTCTTGGTATCCATCTCAATGCTGATCATTGTCATAGGCTATATGCACTGTAGCAAGAGTCGTCGCTCGATACAGATCTGAACACCTTCGCCATCTCTCGTCGACAGATGACGTCATTATCGTTACCGCATCAGTCTTTGCCCTTGGAAGCACCGTGATAATATCCACGGCTGTTGAATCGGGCCTGGGGAAGAGGGACTGTCTCCTCAGCGATGATGACTTGGAGCAAATCCAACTCAAGCTTTATGTTACGACGATACTCTTCGTTTTGACAATAAGCATCGCCAAAAGCTCGGTCCTACTGTTCCTCTATCATCTAGCAGATAGCACACTACGCAGGGCAAGCGTCCTACTAGTCAGTACACTGGTCTTGATATGGACCATTGCAGTTTTGGCAGGCATGGTCTTTCAGTGTGAGCTACCGACGCCGTGGCTGGTGTGGACGGGGAAGTGTATCCCCTTGGTAAGTCCGATTAACACACCATGACTGAATTCGTTCTAAGTATAGTACAGATACCTTTCTGGATGATTGCCACCATCACGGATACTGTTCTAGAAACAGCTGTGATCACTCTCTCGGTACATCACATATGGACACTGCGGGAATCCTACCGTCAAAAGGCCTTGGCGACGCTACTGTTGTCCATGCGCTTCATGTAAGCAAAGGATCTAACACTCAGCCGAGACCCTGCTGACGTCCCGTGTAGCTTGGTTGCAGCATCAATCATTCGTCTGGTCTATCTTCGACAAGCATACGATCGCAATGGAGACCCCGCTTTCGACTCTTTGCCCTACGCTGTGGTCACACAAGGCCAGACGACACTAGCCGTTCTCATCGTTTGCAGTCTCTGCCTCAAGCCATACTCTGGCTTCCAAGCAGCCCAATCACCAGCCCTCAAACCCAAATCAAGACACTCGAAAAACTGGTCTGGTAGCATCACCATCGGCGGCACGCCCTATGAATCATACAAGTCGTTCCCACAACCGATCATACGAGAACCTCTGCTTGCTATACAAGCGAGCATGTCAACACCCAATTCCCCGGCAGGATCCAGGCACTCACTGAACGAAGATATACTGCTGCCAGATACACCGATACCCGCGCGATCTGCTAGAAGACCTCCTCGGCCTCCTCCACCAAGTGAGGAGCAAAGACCGGATCTGAGTATGTTCACTCGAAGTCCTACTACACAGCAGGCGCCAGTGGTGACGAAACTTACTGTTTGTCAAGAGAGAGAAAAGGGAATGGACTTGAAGTCAAGGGGCTTATTGATTCGATAGAGCACATGTATCTCTGTTCGTCCAAAATAGTTATAATGTATTCTGCTGGGCGGTTGCGACAAGTAGCTACGATGAATGAATGCATTAGCCGATGTACCCTCAAGAAAGCAGTCGCTTTAACAGTCTCGCGTACAACTCATCCTTATGAGTACAAGGGAATTTTCCAAGCTCTACAGGATTCTGATGTGTATGTTGGTAGTAAAAGGCATACGCAACGACGCGGTAGGTAGGGGTAAAAAAGCGAACACCTGCATGTCTCCCGACGCACCGACCACGCTCATCACCCATTACCGAGCGCATACAACAACGCAGTCAGACGTCTTCTCCAGGTCAGCAGCGATGACGAATAGATTTCAATCAGCATATCAGCCTACGAAATTACCGAGTATATACATGCAGGGTAGCTAGAAGCGCAAAACATTTACCACTTTCCCACACGATGATACACCAGAAACAGCGAAGCAATGTCAAAAAAGCTTCGACGTTTACAACTTCCGGAACGGGATAGATGCCGAGGGAACCGAGTAGGCCGGTACCTACATGGGCAGTACAACACACACTGCACTTTCTCAGTGGCTTGAAATGCCTGCTGTCAATCGTCCAACAAGGTACTTGGCATGCAGACGATAAAATGCCCGACGTCAGAGCCGCAACTACATTGAGAACTTGAGGACATCAATTGCAGTCCAACACACAGTAGCTAGAGACAACGTCGTACGAGTCTCTAAAGTCCATAGTATCTCTCATCGCTTCCAACCAACCTCCTCTCTCTCTCCGCTCATCATGGCGACACAAGCATTCGACCCCTCCAACGTCGACCTCACGACAGCCGACAAAGTCGAAGTAATCTGCTACTTCACCGTGGGCGAAAACGAATACAACGGCATGCTCGGCGCGCGTATCTCGTCCATCTTCGTCATCGGCTTCGTCTCCACCCTCGTAACCTACTTCCCCGTCATCGCGCGCAAGAAACCATCTTGGAAAATCCCACTTGGTCTCTACACTTTTGCGCGCTTCTTTGGTTCGGGCGTCATAGTCGCAACAGCGTTTATCCACCTGCTGGATCCGGCGTACGAAGCAATAGGCCCGGGGAGTTGTGTGGGAGAAAGCGGAGCATGGGCGGAGTATCCATGGTGTGCAGCCATAGTGCTGACATCTATCATGGCGGTATTCTGTGTAGATCTAGGTGCAGAAGTATATGTCGAACGGCATTTTGGCGTGAAGAAGGAAGAGAGCGAGGTTTCCAACAACGCGTTTCTTCGCTCTGACTACAACAACACCATCGTAGTCGCACCAGTAGCAGCCATGGCGGACCCAGAATCCAGCGATAATAACCCAAGTCAAGACCACCAAAACGGGAATCAACAAGACCACCACCGCAAACACACAGCAAGCCTACGCAGCTACCACTCCTCGTCCTCCCTCTGCACCACCTCAACAGCAGCCCGCCTCTCCTTCGCGCAGCAAATCGGCGCCTTCCTCGTCCTAGAATTCGGAATCATTTTCCACTCCGTCATCATCGGCCTGAACCTCGGCGTCGTCGGCGACGAATTCAAAACGCTCTACCCAGTCCTAGTCTTCCATCAATCCTTCGAAGGGCTGGGCATCGGGGCCCGCTTATCCAGTATCTCCTTTCCTAGCGACAAGGCCTGGATGCCGTGGGCGCTTTGTGCCTTATATGGGCTTACGACGCCGCTGGCTATTGCGGTGGGGCTGGGTGTTCGGACGACGTATCTACCGGAGAGTAAGGTTAGTTTGATGGTGCAGGGCGTGTTGAATGCGGTTAGTGCGGGGTTTTTGGTTTATAGTGGGTTGGTGGAGTTGTTGGCTAAGGACTTTTTGTTTGATAGGGAGAGGACGAGGGATTTGGGTAGGCTGGGGTTGATGGTTGGGTATATGTTTCTTGGGGCGGCGGTTATGGCGCTGATTGGGTGGTGGGCTTGATTAGTGACGGGGGAGGGTGGTGGAAATTTTGGGTTCATGGAATGGATAAGTGGGTCATGTTGTAGATAGGAGGTATTCAGATCATTTCCACAATCTAAACCCATCCTGATAATGCACCGAAATACACCACACTCCCTCATGCCTTGACCCCCATACACGCTTTCAGGTCTCCTCAGAGTACAAAGCCTTCATGTTCTGCAGATCAGAAATAATCCTATCGATCTGACCAACATCCTCCAATTCAACCACCTGCTGATAGATGCCCGCAACGCTGATATTCCAGTCTGTCGTCTCATCGTAGAACGAATCATACGACGTCACCGAGGACGGTCGCAGGGACAACTCATCTGAAGCCCCTACGGGCGGCGGACCAGGCGAGGAGAAGACAGAGGAGTGCGAGGGCGACGGCAAGAAGCCTACGGGTGAACTAGGCGAGCGGAACGCGAGTGGCATAGGGCGGTCGGGCGCTGACGTTGTTAGTCAACATGAAGTTTATGAGAGTTGACGGGGATGTAGCGTACTGTTAGGTGGGTAATCGCCTCGTCCACCAGGTGAACCAAGGGATGTCGACCTCAACGCTTGTGATTCTATCACTTTTTCTCGCTGAAGGTGAAGTGAAGGCGGCAACTTGTCGATCCGCGGACTAACTGGCGACGAGAAAGAACGTGTAGGCGTCGTAGTGCCCCCATGTGCTGAGGAGTCGGCGGCAGCTTGTCGCTTGAGGATCGTGGTACGCGTTTCACTAGAAGGAAGAAGCAGATGTTAGTTTGTGTAATGTGTGAATGCAGCTATGACATGTGTATCTAGAATATGGGTGGTATTCTTGATGGTTATGAAACGCTGCTAGTAGTAGTGGTAGACGACATGGGCGAGAAGGTAGGTGGTGGTGAGGTGGCAAGTGAGATGGGGAAAAGATATAGCAGAGGCATCTAGAACATTGCGTGACACCAAGCAGTGCCCGGACAACGCAAGTTCCCAATGCGTGCGCATCTATGGAGGAGGATTTGTGAAGTGGGCTTAGCGTACGAGGGGCGGATGTCGTGGACGTCGCGGCAGAGTTCTTCGAGGCAGAAGTTGTTGAGGCGGGAGAGGTTGTAGCCCTATTCAGTAATCACATTAGCTCCTCATATTCAGATGCATGATAGGTGTTTGGGACTCACGCGATCAAGACCCAACTCTCTCAGATATTTCTTAGCCTCTTGAAAGTGCTCGTCGCTCTCTTTGATCCAGTAGCCGAAGAGAGAGAGGTGGACATCGGCGATGGTCATGTTGCGGACTTCGTCGGCGTATTTCTTCACTTCTTCTGCACTGAGGTTGACGTGCAGGGACTCGTTGCGACGGTGGCGGCTGCTCGGTGTGGGACTCGCAAGGTCGTGGGCGACATGTGTGCCTTCGCATTCTCCACATTCGTCTCTGAAGCGCCGATTATCGACGCTATCGTCGTAGTCATATTGCGAGTAGTCACCTGGATCGGCGGTGAAGACGGTGGGGTGGTCGTGTCCGAGGCCTTGGAGCTTGACAAACTTTCGGTCTATGGACTTGTTAGTCTGGGGTTAGAGAGGAGGTTGAGGGTACGTACGACGCTCGCGGATTTTCTCTCTTTCCGCAACAGTCATGAGATTACTGGGAGAAGGAATGTCCGAGCTGACGAGTGTGGTCTGCTGACTTGCGCGCTCGGTCTCAACGCTTGTATCTCTGCCCTCGGACTCGGAGCTCATGACCTGCGTCAATGGGCTAGTACTAGCGATACTGCTGCGGTTGCGCGCGAAGAGACTGCCAAAGTTCTTGATGCTACTCTTGCGATAAGCCTGGCGCTGTCCTTGGTCGTCGCACCCATTATCGCTAGTGTTCTCTTGCACTTTGGGAGGTTTCGGAACGAAGCTGTCTTTGCGATGCAAATTCTTCTGTGACTTGGCAAGCTGAGGGTATAGCGACGGTACTGATTTTGGCGAGAAGTTGGTCGCTGCCAGCGTCGCTTGCATCTGCGCGTGCGGGAAATCCATGTTTTGAGTTCGGCGCGGCGGATACGTGTGCGTTCAAGGGGAAGGGAATGGAGATGTTGCTGAGAAAGAGGTGCGGATGTAGACGTGTTGGTACGTAGACGACGTGACGGCGTTTGTCAAACTGCGATAGTGATCAGAAGGTAGCTTGCGCACTGACGTCAAAAGTGAAGGTGAATGTGAGCGTGAAGAGGAGTCGATATTGCTAGGTGACGTCCCAATTGAGCGATTGCGCGGTCATTAGCGGACAATGGATGAAGATTGAAAGAGGGGGAGAAGATGTGAGGGTCTACCACGCGTACAACTTCTCTCAAGGTTCAAGCAGTGCTGAATCCACTTGAGATGAACGTGAGTCGATGCGAAAAAGAGCATTCCATGATAAGGTGAAATAATGGTCTTGTGTTTTCCTGGACTTTCAGCGCTATCTCAGTATTTGAAACACCGGTGGAGTGTAGGTTTCTGAGGATGCCGGTTGAGTTTTCTTCTATGATCTCGCCTTTATCTCTGTCGACGAGACCAGCTGCGCTCTTGTATATCTTGTAAAATCTGGTTGAGACCGTCCGACCGGAGCGTGCTGCAGCATTCTCGTCATTTAGAACGCAGTTCGAGAGGCTCCTTGCCGGCCTGTAAATTCACTGTCAGCTGAGCATCTTTCGATCAACTCTGCAATCTCCTGGAGGGACTTACTGCTTCGAGCGGGGTGTTTTCATGTTTGTACATGACGGGAAGCGTAAATTCTGGCAACTTACTGCATGAAGTCTGAATCCAGTCGTAAAGCATGTTCAGTGGACATGTAAGGACCTGCGATGTCGGAGGAGGGCTCGCTGTCAGTGATCCGAACTCGCCATGAGTTCAAACAATGCCAAACACCAGATATTCCAAGATGGCCGGTGTTGGAATCTCAGGACGTGACACCACTATCGTGTGAAAGATAACCGAATGTGTTGTAGCCCAACTGCATGACTTATCACGGAGCGTAAGATTGGTTTTCACATCGGATTTAGGGAATGATGATTGTCAATGATTCGTGCTGGCATGGGAGGTGGTACCCATGAGACAACAAGACTAGGGTAAACTTGACTGAAAAGCCACTCATCTTGTGAAAAAGGTATAGCTGGCACAAAGATGGAAGGAGGCAGCATGCGAAACGGAACCTCGCCCATGAGACTTCCTAGACTTCCTCTTACTCATCTTACCTATGTCCACACAGTGTCATTACAGGAAATGAATAACAAGCGCACCTCATCTGATGCAAGCTCCGATCCTCCATGTGATTCTCACTAGTGAGGAGAATCAACAGCGATAGACGGTCCAATTCACGGCAGTATGTAGGGTGATCAGGTGCAAATCCAACACTGTAGACGTCCCACACCCGGTGTTGGCTGCATCGAAAGGGCAAGTCATGCGCAGACAAATTAGTAGTGCTGCATGGTCAGGTGAAGGTCAATGGAGAGATATGTGCAAGCTGGAAGGGAGGGAGGGTCTGATGGCGGCTGTTGAGGGTGGTCCCGACGCAGAAAGTTCCTTGGCGACCCGCCCGCGGGCGTCTTCCAAGTTCCTGCTCCCCGCTCAAAGGGCCGATGCAACAACACGTAGGATCGACTTATCTCGGTCAATAGCCGTTGGCAGTCAAGCTTCACCTGCATGCGGTTTCTTCTTGGACCTCGTCTCGGCGATCCTGACCGTGCTGACGGCCCGAGCTTCTGTCCCGCGGCTGCGATGACTGCGACACGCAACATTTCCTATCAACTACCCGAACGGCTCAAGAGCAATCTGCAACAATCTCATCGCTTACCATGACCCCTCACGGACGCGCATCGGGTTAATCTAAAAAGGCTCTCTGACGCACGACTGTGTCTACAACTGGTATGGCATTCGTACACTCCCACCAGTAGCCTGCATGGATCAACCTCGCACGGCGCTTATGGGTGTTACACAACACTGCACAACGGTTTCTGCCGCGAGCAAGATGGGCTATACCCACTTTTCAACATCCTCGATATTGCGGCGCAGTCGTCCTTCACCAGACGCGCCGGACACTGCCCTAAGTTCTAGGTCGTCATGGTGGACAGGTTTGGCGTGACCTTTGACCACTCAGGCATTGGGGGCCAACTCTGATCAGCGAACTCATGATCCTAGCTCTAGGCTGAGCGCCTCGGGAACGAGAACTGGAGGAGCTTCAGGGCAGCGAACCATATCCAAGAACGCCTTCTTCTTGTGGTCTGACATCAGGTCCGAGGAACTTACCTACACCTCGAAACGGGCAGCGGTCATGCTTAGGTGAAGGGGCTCGCAGGCTGAAAAGGTGCTTCGTCGCGCTGATTCGCTAGACCATGCAACAAAGTTGAGCGAATGGGGGCTGTGAGCCGCCTTGCGTCGAGACCGAACCACGACAGCAGATCCCAGCCGTTCAGGACAGCACCCGATGTTGGTCCACCCCCCGGGTCCCCGTTGTTGGCACTTCCTATCCTGCAGGCGCTGCTCTATATGAATTGCGGCGTGGTTGATGCAAGTTGTCCGCCGTCAGCCAATGAAGCGCTAACTTTAGCGCCCCCGCGAGTTGGGTCGCCAATCATTCCCTACTTAGCCGCATATCCAACGTCCTTCATCCTTTAGGAGCTTTCCGTGCCATGTCGCGACGGCGGGGTCAGGACAGGCGGCTCTCGAGTCTTGACACGCGTTAAGACCAACGGGCGTAGTCCCACATTGCCACCTCAGTAGCAGGAATGCGCAGATAGATCTGTCAGCTGTAAACGGTGTGGTACGCACCGTCGCGGCGCGGATGACGCGTGTGTGGTGCATTCATATAACAAAAGTGTAGCCTGCAGATCATAGGTTGTACCGCTTTCAGCCCTCTGTTATCGTTCTGTTTCGTTTGGGGGCGCAGCTTTGGTCTCCTCTGCCGTCTGATTTACCCAGTTGACCGGTCTCGTTGCTACGCCGCAATACTCTCCTTTCGGTACTTACGTATCTACGGGTGCCGCCTTCTTTTACATCCTTCGCCGCCGCCTTTCCCGCGCTTCTTTTCGTATCGTGCGTCTCGTTCGCACTATCACACAACGCCTCCGCGATTTAAGATTACTACCTTCATTGAAAAGCTTGTCCCTAACTTGGCACTGTCACACCCATAGACATGGCTACACTGTCGGTGCCGTCGCCTAGCCTGGGCTCGGGTTCATTGGGTGCCAGCATCCACAGACCGCTCTCCACTCACGGGCTGCCAAAGCAGCCGCGTACAATGTCACCCGAACGACCACATCGTTTCTCCGCAAAGTCCACAAAGAGCTATCCTCCTCCAGCTCTTGTACACACTCCTATGACACCACAATCCCTGGGACCAATGTCTCCCCCACCTATGTCAGCAAAGTCTTTCGGCACCTTCATCGACTCGGAGCCGTCGACGCCAGCCTACTCACCAAGGATGGACCACCAGTGGGACGACTCATCGGTGGTCCTAGTCCGTCCCATGTCCTCGTCTTCTGAACCTTCCAGCCCTACTGAGCCAGTATGGCGCATGCTACAACCACTGCCTGTGAAGGCCCCACCAAAGCCCAAAGCCAGCACCGTCAGAGCTCAGTCCAAAGAACCGGTCTCCTCTGCCAAGGAGATTTCATCACAGACATCGCTTTCATCGCACCCTACTAAGCAGGCGAGCTACGTCAATCGCCCCCACGCGATCAAGCTAGCAAGCCTATCACAACAAGATTTCCCCCCGAAGAGCGAAGACATTCCACAGGGTGATGTTACATCACCTCAGCCGACAGCCAGCACACCCACGGCGGCCGCCTTCGGGAAACTGGCAAACAAGATGAAGTTGATGCTCCGGCGTAAGAACACGAACGCAAAGAAAAAGGAGAAGAAGAAGCGAGAGTACGAGGAGGTAGACCGCATAGAGGATGTACACTGGACAGAGATGTGACCTCCACCTCACACCAAATGTTTCGAACATCTCAAAGTCCGACGTCTATTGCTACACACGGAGATGGGGAGGAGGCTGGACGCTGCGATTCCTCGTCGGTGTATCGTACGCAAGCATCCGGGAATTAATACAAGGCATCCGTGTCCGAAGGAAGATGGAACTGTATCAGAACTACACATCAAGACTGTTGCTTATACTCGTCCGGTCAGATTAATGAGCTGCTGGCCACCAACATCACTCTTGTCGGCGTATACGTGGCGTACTTGATGTTTCCCTTTGGTTTTGGGAGGCGTTTTGGATCCTTATGGCTTTCATGAGTTGCACAAGCAAGTAACGACGATACCCAATCCTTACCATAGCCTATTATTAGCAACTATCTTTTCATCACTAAACTCGTACACACCACTGCCGATGACCATGGAGACATGAGTTCTGACTGTAATTATCTATAATGATCACACAAGAGACCATCAAACAGCCTGTATCCCACAAAGGCCTTGCAACTATAAGCCAGCGCATGCTTTTCTGGACTCATTGTTCTCGTGCCAAGCACCTGCCCTACTGCTCCACGTGAAAGGGCGATCAAACTAGCGTGTGCACAGACCATCAAGTCTAAGCTCCACAACGCGAAAGAAGCAGAACACATCTCACCCATCTTGCGATACAGGGAACACTGTAGGTAAAATGATTCCAAGAAGGTTGGGAAGCGCCGTACGGCTCAAATGCGCCGGTAAAGCACAGCCTCAAACGCGGTTACAGAGGCCACTCGCGGTGACGACCCGTGCTTTACGGCCACACACAGCACGCGTTCATTCAAGTCCGTTATCACGTGCTTTCTCGCAGACAAGACTCCTACAAACCCAGCCCAAGAGTTCAAGAACCAATGGAAGAGACACTACCCTCTTCAACACGCGATGGAACCAACCAGCCAAGGACCCCACAACCACACTCCTAGAATCACGCTTCCCAACCAAGACCGTGCTTGTACTCCTCACCCTCGGCGCCCTAGCATACTACTTCGTCGACATAGTAGAAACCGACTGGACAGACAGCGTCTACGGCGCCTTCGAAACCGGCGACGATGCCTCGCAACTCGCCCAACCCCTCCACTTCTACTCCTCAAAAGAAGAAGTGCAACACATCCTCGACTTCCACATCCCAGACCCCAGCGCCCCGATGAAAGATCCCGCCGTAGCGAAGTTCTTCTCTGAGCAATTCGACAAGCTATGCTACGGATGGATGATGACGCCCGATGATTCAAAGAAGGGCGTCGAAGGCATGCCAGACGTGCAAATGCCCATAACACACGGATGTCGGTTCCGCAGCAACGAGCCGTGTGAGGATTTCTTCGCACTAGGAACGTCGCCTGGTCCCGGGCAGAACCTCTGGAATTACTGGACTGTACTAGATGGGCATGCAGGACGACACACGGCATTCTACCTCCAATGGACACTAATCCCCATGGTATCCTCCGCGCTCAGCACCCTAACACCGCACGCCTCGAGCCACCAAATCGAAAGCAGTATAAAAACCGCCTTCCTCGCCACGGACAAAAGTATCATGTCCCGCGCCAAAACAGCCGCAGCCTGGTTCCCCGCCGCCAACGCCGCCGCCATCGCCGCGCTCACACCCGCTTTCTCCGGGTCCTGCGCGCTACTCGCTGCATTCGATCCCCAGACCTCCAAACTCCGCGTCGCATGCACAGGAGACTCCCGCGCCGTCCTAGGCCGCTGGGACCCCTCCACAAACACCTACACCTGCATCCCCCTCTCAGAAGACCAAACCGGCTTCAACACCAAAGAAGTCGAAAGACTAAGCAAAGAACACCCCGACGAACCCTCCGTCATAGACCCCAAAACAGGCCGCATGCTAGGCATAGCCGTAACCCGCGCCTTCGGCGACCACCGCTGGAAATGGGATAACGAGACTATCAAGGCGTGCCAGCACAAATTCTGGGGTACGGCGCCAAGGCCAGGGAATTTGAGCCCGCCCTATATGACGGCGGAGCCTGAAGTTACGGAAACGGATGTTGTGAGGAGGGAACCGCGGGATGGGATGCTGTGTGGTGATGATGGGAAAGCAGAAGGAGGGGGGAAAAGCGATTTCCTCATCCTCGCTTCCGACGGCCTTTGGGATCGGATTTCTTCTGAACATGCCGTCGAGTGCGTTTCCCGCTATCTCTCCGCGCGCGCCCGTGGCCAGGGTTCCGTGAAGCAAGACCCAGAACTCCTGCGTAACCCCCCTGTTTTCCCTCAAAACCTCTCTAGCTTGGACCCGGGTGTGACGTGCGATCCCGTGGCAGGCGAAGACGTGGATTGGAAAGCGGAGCCGCAGTATTTTGCGATTGAAGATGAGAATGCGGCGGTTTGTTTGGCGAGGAATGCGATGGGTGGGAATAGGAGGGGGTTGTTCCTTGGGGTTTTGGCGGGGCCGGAGCCGCTGAGTAGGAATGCGGTGGATGATACTACTATTATGGTTGTGTTTTTTGATAAATTGGAGGATGGGAAGGCGAACGGGAAGGGGGGTAAAAAGGTGGAGGAGAGTAGGAGTGGGGATGGCGAGAAGAAGAAGAGGTGGTGGTGGCCGTTGTGAAGGCCGAAGCGACAGCATGGTTCATATGATGAGATATGGATGGCTTCCTAATTTCAATTCAGACCTGAGATGCCTGTTGGTAGACTACAGAAAAACAAAGCAAGAGAGTAGTGATGTTGATATCATCCAGTCCAAGCCGGCCAAAACAACGCCTCAAACCCAAGCCATGCAAATGCTACTGATCCTCTGAACCAAAAAAAAAAGATGATGATATCACAGCCCCCCATCCGAAAAACGCAACAGTCCCGCCCTCCGTCTGACTTTCCTCATCTCCTCATCTTTCCCATCCCTACTCCTCTGCCTCTTCCTCCCACCACCTACCCACCCCCGCTTAAAGCACAACCCCAACCCTTTCCAAGCCCCCCTGCCCATACCCCAATACATACATCTGCGCGCCCATTGCCCACTCGCATAGACAACGCCATACCTCTCCTTGCACACACGAATGTCTTCCCGAGCCATGTTGAGAGCAAGAATACACGGCTGGCCCACCTCCTAGGAATACTACTGTAGGAAATCGCGTTGGACGTTGATGAAAGCGCCGGGCCCGCCGTCGTCGGCGAGTTCGGTGACGAGGGCTTCGGTTTGTTGGATGAGGCGTTCGAGGGCTGCGGAGGAGGATTTGCCGAGGGAGACTGCGTGGGTATTGTTAGTTTAAGTTCTTCTTCTGCATCTTCCATCTTGAACATACCCAGTATAGCGCTATTCAGTTCCTCAGCAACAGGCGCCCTCCCCGAAATCTCCAGTAAAGGCGCCAGCGCACTCTCCCGCGCATCCGCATATGCTATAAGCGCAAACGTATCCTCAAGAGCACGCTTCACTTCCCGTCTTGGGTCGTTTGCGAACTCAGATTTCAGCTCCATGCCATATGTTATAGTTTCGCTTGTCGCTCGTTCGCTCTTGGCTACCTTGTCTTCCATGTCGTCCTCGTCTCCGACTTCCAAGTAGTCGTCTTGGTCTTTGTTGTCCCAGCTGGGTGGTGGGTTGTGTACGCCTAGTTGCTCGTCGAGCTCCATTTCGAAATCGTATTCTTCTGTTGCGGTTGAGTTGCGCTTGTTGGGATTCGAAGCGGTGGATCGTTTGGAGGATGGTGCTGGTGCGGATTGGCATTGTGCGTTCAACTCTCCGCATCGTCGGATCATCTCGATGAACTTTCGGCAGCGGAGTTTGAAGTAGATGTTTTCGTTGTCGCGGAGCACTGAGGGGTAGTATGCGGTGGTGTGCTTAAGCGCCTTGTCAATGTCGCCCTCGAGGATAGCTGTCCGTATTTCTGTTTCCTGTTAGCCTGCGTTTGTACCCAGAGGGATGAGCTTACTTTGCCGGTTCAGCGCATCCAGATCTTCTACTGCTGATCGGTATGAAACGTCTGTCTCGTCGTTATTCGCAAGCGCTCTTGCTTCCTCGACAATCTCATCAGAGAAAGCCCGTGTAGTCTCTACATAGCCGTCGTGCGCCAGATATTGTCCCACCAGCTGATGTATCAACGCGTCCTCGCCTCCCAACGCACCCGCTTCTGTTTTGGTCCGGGCGATTTCAGCCTGTATGGCGGCCTTCTCGTCTTGTACCATCTTGTCGATATCGAAAGCGAAGGGTTCTTGGCCGAAGTTGACGCGGACCATCTCGCCGGGCTTCTTCATGCCTACGGTAGGATAGTACGGCATATTGGGTTTCAGATCTCGGAAAGCCGTCCCTGAACTTGTTAGTACTATCCATATCCCTCACTTCGCATACTCACCTTGCATATGCCCATTCTTCGTGAAGAACGCAGTATTTGTCCGAAAGTTGATGCCACAGCCGATAACATCCAGTGTGCCAAACTTAGGCCCGTATGACTTTCCGGAAGTGGTATTACTAAAGATCTGGCCATCGTCGCCATGGTACGCATACGAGTCGGGCTCCCAACCCGGTATCCTGCTGAGAGCGACTTTGGGTCCTGAGAAGCCTACTCCGATCATTCTACTGCCCAGTGAATTAGCGTGTGCTTTAAAAGGTGTCAAACAAACATACCCGTCTTTGCCCTTAGAAACGACAGTAACCTCGTAGTAGTAGATCCCACACTGCCGCGGCATGGGAAAGTCCGCGCGAACCGACGCAGCTTCATCGTGTGTCTTCTGTGAGCCCGAGAACTTGGCCAGCCTCTGACCATCCTCCAACTCAAGCTGAGGAAACCTGTCTGCGTCATTCCACCGTGTCGGCCATGGCGCTACCGGCTCATCCACAAAGACGGGCGCACGCTCTACTATCTCATGCGTGAGACCGCGATGTGACGGCGCCATCTTGTGTAGGTTGACGCTGCTAGAACTAGTAGACAGCGAGCCTGCATTCGACGAGTGCGTTGACTTGTATTCCCGCTGGGCTGCCAGCTTCGCCTTGTGCGCCTCTTGTAACTTCTCGGCGTGCTTGGACCCGCGCAGGTAGGAAGGCACGAAGAACGGCGGTATATCTTGTGTCGACCCTCCCAAGCCATGCCAGTAGCCAGACTGGCTAGAGTATGAGGGCAGTGGCCCACCGGCCCTTCCGAAACTCGTAGACATGTGGCCGTCGGCGTCGATGGAGCGAGAGAGGCGGTTCGGGTGCGATGTAGAGCCGCTGTTGGCGAGATGTGCAAAGGCGCCGGATCGGGTGGGTTGTTGGATTGAGCTATTGCTGCCTGCCGATGCAGCAGCTACTCTGGCGTAGCTGTCCCTCCGAGGATTCATAGTGGTCGATAGTGGCGCTGCTGCCAACTACCAGCGTGTTCGGGCGGACGTTTGGAAGCGATCGCAAAGGGCGGACGCGCAGACTACGCGAGTAGTAATGGTCGAGCGGGCGGTCGTAGTCGCTGACGGGGTTTGGAGACGTCCAACAGCGCAGTGACGCGTGGGCTAGCTGTCTCTGGCGCCGAGTGAATGCGGTACTCTGTGCTGGAAGGTGCCAACGGCGAAGGCAAGAATCAACGGCACCCGGGCTCCTGTGAGGCGATCGTCACAAATGCATTCATGGTATCATCAGCGGAGGATTTGCTGCAGGAAAGCTAGCGAAGGTGTGCTGGGCAGGTTGTACGTCAATGAGGTCCATGGGCGGAGGTTTGGATGCGCCGAGCTATCGGTGGAGATCCCCGCGATCCACGGGTACGATAACGCCATCCAGGTCACGCTCATCCTTGACAATTATCATACTATGAGCTTCAAAAGTGGGCACTCTACAATCTCAAGGCGCGAGAAGACACACACTGTCACGTTAAAAACCTTTGGCATGGCATATTGGCAATACCCGCTACCGAGGTTCTCAAGATGCATGGACAAGTACTTGTAGTTTGACATGGATATTCAATTCTCTCCATAATGCTATGCAAGCCCCTTTCCGTCTCTATCCGGATTCCATATCCATATCCAGTATTTGTGATGTCCATTCACAACATACCTGTGCGCCGTACACCATGCTGCCCGTGGCAAGCCAGTGACGCCCCAGTTGGCGCCTTTTACGTAGTAATGCAATGCGCTCCCTCAACGCCAAACAAGACAAAGGAAGCAAGTCGATATAGTAAACAGGTAGCAAGAAATAAAGTGAGGTCGAGCCGCAAGAGGTGCAGGCTACAGCAGGAGTACATCAAAGGAAATGAGACCAAGCGCATTCATGCCTCAAGCGGGAATGGGAGCAGGAGAGCTTGCTATTCCGTTCATGGGCGTTGGTACGGGTGTGCTGTCGCCGTTCAGTCCGCTCTTGTCGCTGATCGCGCTGCTCTCGTCCTTCAGTTTGGACTCGCTGGTGCCGGTGCTGTCGCTCTTGACGTCGTCGGCGAAGGCGCCCTTGCGGCCTGGCTGGTATGTAGGCACTTGCCACATGACGCCGGTGAAGCTGCGGACCTGGAATCCCTTCTTCTCCCAGCGACGGCACTTGGCCCCTGACCTGTCGAGGGCACGCAGACGCTCGTTGATGGCTCCCAGGTTTGCCTTGGGGCCTGCCTTGTTGATGGCGGCGGGTGCTGGGAAGGGCCCCTTGGAGTTGGGGTCGTTGATCATGTCGCCCATCTTCTTCCTCTTTGGCCCTGGCTTGGCCTTAGATGGTTTGGGGATTGCGCCTGCGCCATTCGCGCCAGCTTCCATCTGCGCAGCACTCCGCTTGCTGCCGGGCTTGGGGCCCTTCCTCTTCGACGAGGGAGGGGCCAGCGACGACGGTGTGCTTCCGTTCATGTTGGGGGTTGAGTCGGCGGGCGTGGCAGCAGGTGAGGGCTCGTTAATCTGCGGCGCGGGTGTTGGTGGAGAGGGCTTGGCCTCTTCCTTGGGCGGCGTTGCAGGCTCGTGTGGGAAGTCTCGCAGAGAATCCGGTGACAGCTTGAGTGCGACGACGAGGGTCTTTGGTGATTTCGTGGTCATGTTCGCGTGCAGAGGAACGCGGCGATGATGGACGGAGATGGCTGATGTAGAGGGCAGCAGAGATGGGGGTGGTGATGGTTTGGCCTGCAGCGGTGAGGAGAACAGACAGTGGCTCTGCCGGTCAGCGCGTTGGCGTGTCGGTGGCTAGGGTGAGCAGCAAGCTGGGTGAGCCGTGCTTCACAGGAAGTCGAGGTATCGTCGAGCTGATGAAGCGCGTCGATGCAAGCAGAGCGTGGAGGGATGCAGAGGGGGAGTGGCAGGGAGAGTGGGTGGTGACGAAGGCTGCCGCGAGGGCAAAGAAAGGGCTTCGCCGGCCCAGCTGGGGTGGTCGGTTTCCCAGATCATATTGGGCGGGAATCGTCGCTAACGTTTTCTCATTGTATTCCGACACTCCCAAGAGGAGGAGGGCGCACGGCCCCCAGTCACGCTAGCCGCATTTGTGCTCTGGATATCTCGCTGTCGCTGCTGGCAGGCAATTATCGCATGTGCATCGCGTTTTCCATCGCATTCTCCTGACTGTTCTGCCTGCCGTGGTGTGCTCGGCAGGATGTTGGCGTTCGACTGGCGAGGTCCGTGTGGCATCGAGCTAAATTGCGCGTTCCATGGAGCGGCGGGCGGTGCGGTAGAAGCATCGCGCATCGCCCG